CCATTTACTCTTAGGTTGACGCTGAGTACTGAGCCGCTCACTGACTGAAAAAAGTTACGTAATGCTTCTGCGTTACTCATCGCAATTAGAAGGATAATCTATGTTGTGTTTTATCGCACGTTTCGAATATATAGTTTCACAATCGAGTTTCACCCACGATATGAAAAACGCTGGTGCAAAACATATTTCACGACTACTGCGTAGTGTGAATATCGCGTTTTTCACGGAGTTTTACACCAGTTTACGTAAAACGGGTGAAACTCCAATGAAACACTGATAATCGTGTTGGAAATTATGCAACAGAACTTGAACTATATCGCCCGAAATGAGAAACTACGCCAGGTGAAACTCGTGGGGTGAATTGTGTTGGCACGAGTGAAACTGTGTTGAATATCGCAGCGCTTTCCCCCTAGTGAAATATTTATTCTCTATGTTGATATCAAATACCAGGTTATTTATGTATTATTCATTTAGTAATAGCAATAACAACATCGTCATCGCTCATCGGAATCGACGATTGTTAGTAGGAAAAACAATGTTGTAGAGTCTTCTCGATCAACTCAACACTGGTATCGGTAGCGCCGATTCGGCGCTAAATGATGAAGGCGGTACAGAGATCAGAAGATGTTAACAACACTCTGTAGATGTGAGAAGCTCATTCATTACTGGAGGAGGATGGAAGTAGGCCACCGGACTGATTAACTTTGAAGGCTAGGATACACTAGAGCCGAAGGGTACAGGACGAGTTCTATTTGAATTGGCCGTCCAACCAAGCTGAGCGTTGGACGTTAAATATCAACAACAACAACAACACATTGTAGCCATATCTTGACTCAAGCGTGTTGTGAAAATCTCCAGTGTGTTGTAATAGGAACAGCGATTTTAACCAGTGTTGGAGGAATGTATGTTAGCTTCCCGCAGCTGGGCCCAGAAAAGTTTCCTCACTAATTATAGAAGTTCACATACGAATTTGGGTAGAAGTGTACAGAAACCAATAAGAATTCGCTCAATTTTCCTCAGAATTTCCACGAATATCACCTACACATGAAGTTGACCATGTGCATATTTTCCCCCTACTTTGTTAGTCGTGCGTCCAGAGAGCACATTGAGGAACGTCGATTTACCACTCCCCGAAGGGCCCATGATGGCAGTCAGTCTCCCTGATTCGATTCGCCCAGAGAGATCTGTGAGAATCTGAGCACATAGGAAAAGATGTTATTTCAGTTGAGGTAGACAAAAACAGTTGTGTAGACAATGTTGAAGTAAAAATATGTGTTCGCTTTCCTCAGCTGAGCTTGAGAGTTTCCAAAGCTAATTATAGGAGTTCATGTACGTATTAGAGTGGAAGTGTACAGAAAATTCCTCAGAGTTTATATATTGGAGTTTCTCCCGTTTTACGTGAAGTGGCGTAAAACTCCGTGAAAAACGCGGTATTTGCGCCTTGCAATAGTCGTGAAATATATCTTTCACTAGTGTTTTACATATCACGGGTGAGACTCCATTGTAAGTAACACATGTAGTAGATTATGTGTATATGTCCCCCCGCACTGTGTGTAGTTGACGCATGACTCAACCTCAGCTCAGCTAGTTGACGCTAGTTGATGACATCAGTACTGTTTCCCACTCATCCCTGTGGCATTGATTGTTTCTCATTTCGAAATGATGTCACAATATTAGTATTATACGTATGAGGTTATTATGGTATTATAGTTATATATTTTTGATTGATTCCATCGCATTAATTAACTTATACGTGGATTAGTTATATTTTTCACATAAATGTACCGACTGGGCTCTCATTTCCAAATTCATAAATTTTACTTACGAATTTGAACTTTCATTCCGTCAAAAACTCCTTTAACTCTGCGAAAATGAAATTTCTTTTTTCCAGTTTTTTCTTTCACTTGCTGAATTTCGTAATACGATGTATTCCTGATACGATGTAATCATATTATCAATATGGATATTCATTATTGGGTCGATCATGAGTGAATAAATGCCCCGATCAGTTTTTCAGTTGACAACTCACCTTGCGTTGATTCCCTTTAATGGGAACTTCGTAATTCACATCAGAGAATTCGAGGGAGATATGTGTTGAAGAAGTAGCTGATAAGAAAGGGCATCATTTGCTGTCATCGTCTCGAGAGTGTACCCACCTTCGTTCATGCTGGACATTTCCAATGATTCATTTCAAGTTGCGACCGTGACCGGATGGATCTTGCGCGCGTCGCTCCGCTAAAAAATGTGTCACGATTACATTTTTTCAAAGTCATGCGTCTTTCCTTAGTTGATCATTTTTCCAGGCTTGCATATTATAGTGAGAAGGTAACGGAGTTCCGTCATTAGTAGTGGCTCATTACTCACGGTGTTATGGATGTCCTGGCTGGAGGAGAATTGTGGATTGGGTTTTTTTCCGAGTGGAAACTAAATTATACACGTTTGACATGGTATATTATACGAGCCATAGGTGAAACGTTTATCAACTCTAACCAGTCAAATAGAAAAAGGGAGGGAGAGCGCTAGTTGTGGACTGGGTTGAAGGTCACTAATTATCTCGGGAAGTTGCGCTGAATGGATTGGCATCGCTCCGCTAAAGCTTTAAATCGATCGCTTGATCGATTTGGTGTAGCGTAGATTTCATTGGAGTTCCTTAATCACCAGGGTTTGGTCTTCTCCAACATGGCTCATAAGTCCAACCCCTATAAGAAGGCCCGCGCGGCCATGCGTTGGAAGTGGAAGAAGAAGCGTACTCGTCGTCTTCAGCGTAAGCGCCGGAAGATGCGTCAGCGTTCCAAGTAATCTCTTCCCCGAGTTTGCTTGAGCGCCGAGTGCTGTGGTGGAGAGGTTGCTGATTTGGAAGGATGAAGGTAATTCAAAATTCATCCTAAGTCGTTTTGTTTTCCTCATTCCTTTGCTCTCAGGTTGATATTAGTGATAATAACATCATTCGACTTGTCCAAGGCTGCCGCCGCTGCGTTTAACCCCGGTCTCAAGAGCCTTTCTCGTCGTGGTGTTGCTCAATTAAGTGAAGTCCCCCTCCTCTTCCCCTGCGAGCATTCTTCCATCCCTACTGTGCAAACGGTGAGCGCTGGACTCGTCCAGTTAGTAGCTGTATATTGCACTGAAGGGCCACATATCTCGCTAGATCAACTCGGAGCTCATCCTAGTGGGTATAAGGCATGCTCGGTTCGCTGAGCTTATCCTTATTCCCTACCAAGAGCTTCGGAAATTTCTGTTGTTATGATCAAATGATGATAAAACACGACGGTCTTATGAACCCACCAGATGGGGTCTGATTCCACTCATAACTCAGCTCACTCTGATAAGATCTATTTATCACGGCAATTCCGACACTTGAAGTAGGGCTGTTCTTGTCAGTGACATACTTCTTTATATTGCCAATATAGAATCGTTAGCTCAGCTGTCTGACCGATCCTCGTATTGGTACAGATCGTTCATTGCGCGATACACCTTATTGATTATCAATTGGAGAAGTTAAGATCATCCTGGTCAGTTATGAGCTTCTATTAATATTGTCAAGAGTCAACAGTCTGACATTTATCGATGGCATTTCACATCCCTCGTGTGAAGCGGTGAAATGAAGTAGCTGTAACGGTGCGCGCTGGGTCCTGCCATCGGAGAGAGAACATGCTGTCCTCTTAATTGGGTTGATCGTATGCCAGGGCTCTCCACCGAAGCCGAAGTGAATGGTCAATTCTGTTGGCCTCTCTAGCGGGTTTGACTAGCAGCTCTGGACATTCCTATTGGTGCGTCGCTGCCTCGTCTTGAGTGATGACTTGTGATAGTCATGCGCTTACAATAGGTAGCGTAAACAGTAGGGTACTCGGTGTTGCGCTTTCCTTATCAATAGGCCTGTTGCTATGATGTGTATCGTACAGTTCGTACTATGAGTCGGCAAAGCACACTCTGTGACGAGGCTTATTGTGTCTCGCTACAATTTCCAACTTTGCCAGAGGGACAGTTCCCGATTCCTATGCTCGGTGAGTGAATAAACTTGCGGGGTTTCATATTTTGGATACACTCAAATGCGTTACAGTGAAAACTTCATATACATCAATATCGATTCGGTAATGGAAACGTCTCTTAAAGGACATTGTGGCACTAGTCCTTGCATGTGCTTTTCTCGCCAAGTACTGTCGTCGTTATAATACTACCATTGTCCTTCCCGTACTCATCACATCGGACTTAAGGCAGGTGTGTATCTATCGTGCAATCGGTTAAAGTCAATATGTATCTGTGTGGGTCGCACCCAATAGTCTAGGGGAGCATTGCGAAGGCGATAAGAAGATAAGGAAGATCAAAGTGCACCAAATAGAGCTCGAATTCGTAGGGCACAGGTTCTCTACTGAAATCTTCAAAACCGACGCAGGGGAGGAGATGATTCTGATTTAGATTCGTAGCAGTAATTCGATAAAGCCTCACTAGGAAGGACACCAAAGCGGAGAACACAGAGACACTTTCTCAAGGGGTCTCAGGTTACCGTGCGAGCACTCAACTAAGCCAGTATGGGTATCACACGTTAAATCATAACATAATCCACTCGCACATTTACAACAAGTTCGTACTACGACTCAAGACTGAATCAAAGGGATGAAGCGGCGGCCAAGGAGGAAGAGTGGCCGTAATTAAGTCGACCGAGTTCGCAGTATAAGACATGTCATGATGATTTGTTGTACTCGCATGACTCGGTGTATCATGCTTTATGATAATTGTATTTTCCGAAAAAAAAACAAGTTCGTACTCAATTTCAAAAAGCACGAAAAGGCCCCACCACTACCACTGCTGTGCTCGATTGCAGTCGTGTTTCTTCCTCCGGATGGTCGCCACCCAAACACTGTATAACTCAACAACATCATCATACCATTAAATCACAACATATCATGACGTGTCACCATCACTTATCATCCTCCTCTGCAGCACCTTCTTCCTCATCGTCACCCTCAGCAGGGAAGGGCTCCGGCTGCTCCTCAATATCAACGGCCTCATCCATGACCACTCCCGGGCCTTCAACGGGCAAGATCGAGGCCTGGTCCCTGACCAAAACATACCCCACATGCTACGCTGGCGAAATCCCTCACTTTCTCAGACCGTAGCCGACGTATATGTTGGAAACCACTCCGGTGCTCTGCTGAACAACTGTCGCTGCACCAGGCCACCTCAATGATTCTACTGCTACTACTCCAGGAGACCTACTGCCTTCTAAGTCGGTGTAACTCACCTGAATAAACCACCTTACCCGATCGAGAAAAACCCAGCCGGTTTTGTGTCACCAAACCACGGAATCACCCAGGAGCCTATAATGTTCCCGAGGGGGAACTCATTTTGAATTTTCCCCATGGCTAGGAACACATTCTCCCATGTAAATGTCATCATCACATCAGTAACATTTTCCCCATTGTTATCAAACCCTGGGGGACGTTATCTCTCAAAGCTGGATGGTGACCATATACATAAGACCGTTTGCCCTACCGAGTCACCCACAAGCCTTATCCTCCAGCACTCCATTGCATCAACAATAGCCTCCTCTTCCTTCTCCTCATCCTTCGAACCACCAGAGCCCCCCGGCACCTACCAACACAGATCGACATAACTATGCGCCAGCTCTAGCACCACCTGCATTTTAGAATCGGCAACTATCGAAGTAAAGCGTTCCAAAGGAGGGTCTTCATTCGCTAGCTGCTCGAGCCTGTTATTCAACACTTCCATCGCCGCTTCCTGAGATCTAGACAGAGCGAAGACGATCCCATTAGTGTCACCAACCTCCCCCTCCTTGGGCGCTGGCAACTCAGCTGGATGGCGAGTACGTCCACTACGAAGGAGGTATGGTCTCGCATGCACCCATTTATCCTTCGATAACAATTCCTGAAGATCGATACGATGCAGGGACAGTGTGTGTGTGGGGGGGGGGGGGGGAATATTCACATGATCAACCAAATATGTTAATGACAATATGCAAGTTCTGGGGAAATTTCGCGAGATTGTTGTTGATTCCTTTACAATTTCTACCCGAATTCGTATATAAACTCCCGAGCTCAGCTGAGGAAAGCGAGCATATATTCCTACTCCAACACTGTGCAGAGAGCCGACTGCATCTCATTGGGAAAGTATTCTTAGTCAACAGTGTAAACTACGGCCACAGTGCATACGCAATATCCAATATGAAAATATGCGCATACTCAGCTGCTGGTGACAATATGAAAGTTTTGTGGAAATTTCGGGGAATTCTCGTTCGGTCTTGTACATCTCTACCCCAACTCATGTGTAAATTTCCACAACGGAACCTAGAAAACTCCTAAGCTCAGCTGAAGAAAGTCAAGATATATTCCTCCAACACTGCCACTGCATCGCAAAAACACACGAAATAGCATCCCCAAACACAGTGTGGGAATCTATATTGACTTTCCTCAACTGAACTCGTTAGTTTCCTCACTACCCGGGTAGAAGTGTACAAAAAAAGCAACGATA